TGCCGCCCTCTCTCTCCTCTCGCCCTCCCCAGCCCTCGTCAGCTCTGTTCCCCGCTGCCCTCTCTCCCCTCTCCCTCTTCCTCTATGACTTGATTGTGAGGAGAAGTGTGCTTATAGTTAGTTGGGAGAATAGTTCTTCATTTCTTCAATTGTTTTGGGGAGATAATCAGATTTTTAATTTTTTTAGGATTTTTCTTTTTCTGTACCAATGTTTAACTATTTAGGATTTGTAATGAATTCAATCTTTGCTTTGTGGTTTCATGTAACATACATTTTTAAGTGAAAATCTGAGATTCTAAGCATTTGTAATAATCAGATCTTGAACCTCGTCACCATTGCTTCTACCACGAACAGTAACTTCTTACTATTTCACGTAAATAGTATTGTATTTATGAACAGTAATCGTATCTGTGAATAGTATCGTGCTTGTGAATATTATCGTATTTTTGAACAGTACCGTACTCGTGAATAGTACCCATCACCTTCAAATGGTAAATGATAACCTAACTTATTTTCTGATGCGAAGAATCCACATTTGGTGGCAGTCACAGAGCATACGATAAGTAGATATATACAAGTACCCTAAGTTGGCTCTGATACCACTTGTTGGGATAAACCCGGGGCCCAATAGAGCATGGTCGCAGCAATAGCAGAGTAAAAGTAGAGATTAAAAGTTGGACACACAGATTTACGTGGTTCGGCACTTGATTGCCTACATCCACGGGCAAGGATAGAAGAATCCACTATGAGGAGAAAAACTCTGGAGTTACAAACTATCTCTCTTTACAAGGAGAAACTCTCTCTATTTTTTTTCTCTCACTCTTCTATATAAGAAATTGTTTCTGGGATGGGATTTCCTTAAGGATTTTGGAGCCTATTTATAGTTTTTGAAAAAATACTATGCATAATAAAATATTAATATTTTACTGTACATCACTGTGCAACTTTTTCATATTTCAACATTACGATGCCTAACTTGAGAGAAAATGGTTTGTGGGGCCCGCGAGCTTTTCATTTGTCAAAATAAACGTGGGCGGCTGAGGCTGCTGACAGGAAGGAGCATAGTAGAGGAGGAGAATGGAGGTGGATGGATGAAAAGAGAGAGATGAGGGAGAGAGGAGGGCGGACATAAGACGGAGGAGGACTGCGGAAGTGGGGTGGATGAGGAGGGAGAGGGGAAGTTAGTGGAGGCGGGATGGGATTAACTAGATAGACGAGGAATGAAAAGAGAAGAAAGAAATGGTATTTTGGATAATTCGATTAAAAATTAAACGGAATTTGACCGTTGGTTGTTGATTGTAAGACAAAACTATTTTTAAGATGGTTTCGGTATAAATTAAATTTTACAGGTGGTCTTCACATTATTGTTTTATTTTAAAGGTAGTTTTCATGAGACAAAAAAAAAACTTGAAAGTAACAAAACTTTCCACGTCAGGTTTATTGGAACATATAGAAATGGGTGGGGTTTTTTAATGAATAGAAGTAAATCTTTGGGTTTATAAGCCAAGACAGTAACAAGAAATAAGAAAGACTATCAACTAACTAAACAAAAAGTCAGACTAATCAAATATTCAATATCTTTTCCCCCTGCTATCAGTGATCAAAGATTCAATACTTCATATTTCTGAGGTCAAATCATATTTTAGAGTAAAAGCCAACGCATGCAAGCAGATACCAGAATTTGACCATTGGGTAAGCTTTTTTTACCACTTCTAAAAGTAAACTCCAAGCTCATTAATCATTAATATCTACTACTCCATTTATTCAGGCGTCCTACGTGAAAAGGAAGTTGGGATTCCCCATTTTAAAAGCAACATTATATGCTTTGTTCGGGAACCCTACAAAGATAGGTAGGTATTGTTTCCAGCTCATTCTATTCTTTCTTGCATTTCACTACAGAGGAAGGAATATTGTTATTAATTTCCATCCTAAAACAACGTAATTTCGCTCTCTTTATTATTTGGAAACCTTTTGTTCCATGTTGTTTGGAAAATATACAAACTTTTCATGCTTCTCTATTTGTCACACGTTCCTATATATGCTTCTTATCATAAAAAAAATACAAGTACTGCAAAGCTACTTATGTTTTAATTAAAGTCAAAATGATAATAATATTCCTCTGTGCATAGGGGATTCCCTATATGGCTATATATGCTAAGCAAATAGCTCTTTCTGAACTCAGGGTTGCTACAACATAAGTAATGGGCCGAACAATATGTTGCAGGCGGAAAAAGGTTTGCAACTTAATTAACATCTTCTCTCAAATTAGTTACTTTTATTTCACACTATTATTATATCTCTTGATAAGTTCTTATTGGTCAAATAGATCCTATTTTTCGTTGCAATAGAATATATTAAATGTGTATATTTAGTGCAGAAACTAAAATTATAGTGTTTAGTCAAGTAGTGTAAATAGATCAAACAAGCTAAAGGAGAGATCTTGTTAAAAATGAAGCCTGATTTTCTAGTTATAACGTTGGAGGTTTAAACGATGGGAGGACCCAAGTCACCCAAACTTAACCATAATGTTTTTAATTATTGTTTTTGGGTTTTCCCCCATAAACCCATAGTTCAGCTTCCGTTTACCAAAAAACCCACCTAGTTCCTTATGTTCCAATTATAACCCCACGACGCAAAGTTTATTTACCTTTAAACTAAAAAATATAAAATACAAAGTTTATAATAGGAAAAATAAAGGAGATGGTGCAACAAAACTTGCGTATGCCCACACTTATTTTACGATACATGTAGAAGTATTGTATTAATTACAAAAGATTAAACACTAGCGAAACAAATTATTAAAAACGTCATAAGGCGTGACACGTATGTTAGAAATTGTGGTTAAATCTAGAATGAAACTGAGAAAACAGATGTACTGTAATTTTTAACTTTTTTAAGTTCACTGCTGTGCGTTATAGAAACGATGTGCTTAAAGCAATATTTGGCCTACTCCGGTGCAAGGATCCCAAGGCCAAACTACTTCCAGGAACAGCAGTACAGTAATCTAGTGTGTACCAACCCAGTACTGTCAAGATCTCCTCGATCTATAAGACCTTTTGGTCAAGGCAAAAGATCTCCTAGATCTCAGAACCTTACGGTTAAAAACCTTTCGGTTTAAGACAAGTTCCTGTGGGCACAAGTTCCTGCAGCAGCAGCACAACAACAGCAACGCCGGGATCGACGTTTGTTTTCAGCACGCGACGTTCGTGTTCCACGCACGCGAGAGGATTTTCAGCTCGCGACGTTCGTGTTCCACGATCGTGAGAGAATTTCCAACAGCAACCAAGAGCTGCCCAAGGGCTCTATTTATAGGCCTCTAAGGCCAGCTCAAGAGTCACAAGCTATTAATGTGACTGTTATAATTCTTAATGGTAATTAAGATTATAACATCAATGCATTAAATTGCTCTTAATGCTGTTGTAACCGCTGCATGCATTAACTCCTGAATACGAGGCAATCAATGGACGTGTTGCTATAAAACGCGAGGGTCACGTCTTAACAAATCAGACGAACCTCGTTTGACAAACGAACGTCGTCAAACAGGCGAACCTCGTATGACGGACGAACCTCGTCGAACGAGCGAACATAGTCAAACAGGCGAACCTCGTATGACATACGAACCTCGTCGATCGAGCGAACCTCGTCAAACAGGCGAACCTCGTATGACAGACGAACCTCGTCAACAAGCGAACCTCGTATGACAGACGAACCTCGTCGAACGAACGAACATCGTCAAACAGGCGAACCTCGTATGACAGACGAACCTCGTCGAATGAGCGAACCTTGTCAAACTACGAGAGAACGCTAGGGTCACCCTCGTGCGAATACGTAGCTCGTCCGCATGCTGCGAAGCAGCCTGCGAGGCAACCTCCGTGACGACCATAGTGGCAGCCAACGTGGCGCCAAACAGCATCACCTTACCCCGATCCGCCACTTAGCGCCTCAGCCCGATTAGCCCCGATCCCCGGCCCACGACCCACAACCCACGGCCCGCGGCCCATGGCCCACGATCCGCTAAAACTTATAAGGGATTAATTCAAATAAAACACTTCTCGGCTTGCCGTTGACAAGCCTCGAACAATGGACCTTTTGAAACAACGAAACATTAACTTTCCACTAGACTACTAAGCATTTATTAAAAATACTTGTAGTTAATATATATATAGTTTGAAAACTCATTTTGGAAAGCAGTTTTGACCAAAAAATCCAACAACATATTCGTGCCGTTAGATACAAAATAAAACAAATGTATCACAAATATTTGTGCTGCGAATTTTATAACACATTTCCACATGTATAGAAAGACCCTCTCTGCACATATTTTACTGATATTTTTAACTTGTGTTATGCTCCGTTTGTAAGAACCAAAAATACGATGCGAGATGGAAAAAATAGTATCACAATTTATAACTTTTGTTGTAGTGAAAGATTAATCTATCCATTTGAAGTTGTCACTAGAGCAATTTATAGAGAGATCATAAAACTGTGGACGAATCAGTTGAAATAAACAGAATATTTTGTCGAAATATCCGAAGCTAGATAAGTATCTCTATGTCACATAGTTGTAGAATAATAGAAGATACCATGTTCCGTTCTAATTATTATATATCATTCATTTTATTTAAATTTTACGAGGTGAAATGTAGTCACATATTTTTCTTACTAAACTTATTTCTTCTCAGGTCAAAGTCGCTACCGAACGCGACAGTTCAAAACCATCTGGAGGAATAGGGACGGAATTGCTTAGGGTATCTTCAAATGCTTTGTGTTATCAATATTAATGAGTATATGATAGCTCAATTAGCAAAATAAGTTATTAAGAGATAAAAATAGTGAGATGTACAATTTTTAATGCCACTAATCACACAGACCTTATCATTCATCTATCTCCAAATAGCTCAATTAAATGGCCACCTCGTACTGATTATTTCTTTTACATTTCCATATAAAATTTTCGTGATGTTTGTACCCAATGAAATATACCTACAAACATGATAGATTAGGTGTCTAGAAAAGATTTTCTAATAGGTCGATGCATTAATTTCTCTTGTTAAATTTTAAACAAGATTTACTTTGCATATACAGTTAGAATTGTAGCGGATGTAACATGAGAATAAATACATGAAAAATATAATTATATTAGAAATATCTGACAATAGTCTGGATATTAATATGATATGATTTAAATGAAGAAAATTATATCGGCTAAATTAGCTGATTGGCATATAAAGCGACCCAATTTTTCCACTTTGGTCTGTAACTTGACGGTAGTGACACTTTGGCATAAAAAGTGATAAAATACTATAAACTGACGGTAGCGACACTTTGGCATAAAAACTGGTAAAATATCATAAACTGACGGTCGTAGCGACACTTTAGCATAAAGTATTTATAGTTATGCCTCGTTTGGTACGCGAGAATGAGGTGGAATGGAATGATCATTCCCACTTCTCATTCCCTCATACCAAACATAACCAATTTTTAGAAGTTTGAATGCCCATTACAGGGAATGCTCATTCCCACTTTTTATGGGAATGAGCATTCCAAGTGAATTGATGAGGAATGATCATTCTCATTCAAGTGAGAATCAAATTAGTTACATAATTTCCAATTACACCCCCATTGAAAACAAAAATAAATCTAAAAATCTTGTCTCATTGAGTGACATAACTAGATTAATAACATGGATATATATGAACAATTGATTAAAATGTTTTTCCTTTGACTTGCATATATAGGGAAATAGATTCTAGGATAGAAACACAAAATATTGCCTATTATTATAAAGTTTATTTTTAAAAATAAAATTGTTTAGTTATTATCATTAATGTTTATTTTTATTTTTTTTAAAATCTATGTTGTTGTAAGGACATTATTAGAAAATAAGATTTTATTCTCACTTGTGAACTAATGATACCAAACATGGGAATCGGAATGGAATTTTCATTCTAGCTTCATCTTACAAACACACCCAAACAAGAGAATGAGAATGAACATTCCATTCCCACATACATTCCATACCATTCTCATTTGAGCCCATTCTTGCGTACCAAACGATGCGTAGGACTTACATAACAAATTTATAAACAGAACACATGGGAATATAAATCAATAATTGAATAAAAATATATGTTGCTTATAATTAAAAAAATAAAGATAATAAAAAGAGGGGAAATTATGTTTTTAGAATTTAGAGAATACACTGAGTCTCTATAATTATGAAGAAAAGCTCAAAAAATTGCAATTTCATTGGACTTGTTAAATTGAATTTAAGAATTCTATTTAATAATAGAAAGAATGACGCCTTAAAAGACAAAATTTCGAAGCCAAGAGGGGGGAGTGGATGTTCTGCGATTTTTTTTAGGTGAGTGCTTGGCTTCCGATCGATTGACTGGACCCAAATGCTCTCTTATGAAAGAGGGAAAGGAGGAAGAGTGAAGATATGGGAAAGGAAGGAGAAGAGAATGGAGGAGTTGGTAAGAAAAAGGAGGGAGGGAGGGAGGGGGTTTTTTTAATTACAAATTTCAGGGTTAAAGGAAATATGGGATATTGAATGGTTTATATGTAAAAATTTCTTAATTTTTCGCTCAAAACTTGTTGTCAACAATCGAAAATGCCTAATTGTTGTAACTTTGTCACTTTTTATGTCAAACTGTTACTGAGGTCAATTTATAAACCAAAGTGATATACAGTAATACATATGTCACTTTATAGGCCAATTTACTAATTAATTTAGCCAAACAAATTCTGTCAAGTACTAAATAAGGTAATAAGAAAGAGAACTTTTTTTTGCTATAAATCCAATATTTATATTCATTTATTTTCATACTCACCTACTTTTTAGATCATTGTAATCCGTATTTTCCCGGTTTTTATTATGCATATAAATGTATTGTTTGGAAACAAAATATAATTAGCAACAACTTAGAGCAAAATATAATTAGCAACTTACAATAAGGGGGTGTTTGGCAATCTGAAAGTTTATTTAAAATATGTAAGTTACTTTTTTTGCAAATAACTTTTTACATCCATGTCAGCACGCAAGTGAAATACAGTGTTTGTTTGATAAATTAAATTATTATCGAAAGTACAATGTGAAGATGACGTGGTAAAATAAGATTAATTAGAGAGTATAATTAAAACCATTTAATTAAATTACTTACATATTTGTCACTTTCGTGTGACTTCACCACTTTTTTAGGGGAAGTCAAAATTACATTAAATCATATGTGGTAATTTTCTTGCATCTCACTTTCATAACCACTTACATGAAACCAAATACCTTGTTAAATGAAAGTAACTTTCTCACTTTCATCTTTCACTTGCATGCAAACAAACACCCCCTAAGTACAACAATTCGCAGTAAAGTCTAGAAATTATAAAAAAATATAACAGTTACAAAAAAAATTAATATTATATATCAACCCATTGAAATATAAAAGGGGGGTTTAAAATAATTCGGGCAAGTATTTTGAATTTAGAGAGATTTTGATGGATGATATAAATAGAGGTTAGGCTGTGTTTATAGGTAAACCCCTAACAATATGAATTTTTTCTTTGTTGAAAATCATATTGTTATTTATTAATGCAAATCTCTTAATTTTATCATCATTTTTAGTGTCTTCTTACTTGCGTTAACTGCCAACCCTGCGGTCCAACTAAAGCTGAAGATTTTCGTAGAAGAGATATTGTCGAGACAGTCTGCAAAAAAACAAATTGGTAAGTGATCCATTGTCATCTTGATTTGTATTTCATAAAGCCTTTAATTCTCATATATCTCACATTTGTAACAGTTAGAAAAAAGTAGCCAAGATTAACCTAACATGCGGCACATATAATATGTTCATAGTAAATATTGCATAGTTAATTCTACATTAAATTACAGACAATTTATATATAGTTTATTAAGCAAACAATATGACTCGTGTTCATCCAAGAAATGAATTGTAAAATAATATGTCAATTGTCCTTTTTAATTGATTTATTCTAATTCTATGCGAAATCACAAACTAGTACATAAGACACCTGGCTTGTACTATATACTTGATCACTTGATCCCATAAAATTAGGTTTCTATAAAAAATCTCTTATTATACTTATTCTTTCATGTAATATGCATGAACTTCAGGAGGTGATTTGAACGAGGAAAAAAAGTATAGCCATTTTCCCCTAACCAATTGACATTATTGCCACCATCCAAGAAACAAATTTAGACAATTTGGTAAAGAATTAGAAATATGTCATAAATTAAAATATTTCTATTTTTTAGAAAGCGAGATAAATGCAAAATATAAATATGAATTGTAGTTGTTTTATAGGATAAATTAAAAAAAATCTCCATTACATTTGGGTATTTGTCAAATAACCCCCTTTAACTTTCAAAATGTCATAAAACTATCCTTAAGTTTTAGAGTTCTCGGAAAACCCTCTTAAAAAACCTAGCAACATTAACCGCGATTAATCGCATGAGTGGATAAAATCATGCGCGAGGATATCTTTTCCGGTGAAATTGAGGTTTATGCTTTCAAGGGTTTTTTTGAAAGGTGTTGAAAGTTGAAGGGGTTTTCTGAGAACCACAAGACTTAATAGGGTTCTGTGACATTTTACAATTTATCCTATTCGGCATCGTGATTGCACTAATTTAGAACACAACATAGATTTGGATCCTCTTCCCTACAAAAAAAATAGTGGAGAGATCTCTGGTATATCATAATTATTAATATGCTTAATGGGTTTGTTGTGATTTATTTTTGAGTGTAAATTGGAAAAGGAGTGAAAATCAGGGAGGCATAGTGAATTAATGTTAGATTTGGAACGAATCACAACCATATACTAAACAAATCGATGATTATAATTAATCCAGTGGTCTTTCCTCTTTCTTTTTTTTTTCTTTTTTTAAGGATCCATATCCGAATTTGGATCCTCTCTATTACAAAAATGTAGTGGAGGGACTAGTAAATTTAATCTTAACCGTTGACTATTTTGTATGTTGTTATAATACAATGTAAATGTAATACTCACCCTACTCCCGTGTATATCACTCACTCCTAGTTTGCACCAAAATATAATCACAACTAAGTACTAAATCATTAAAGATTGTGATTATATAATTGTCTCCATTGTTTTTTGGGATTGGAGAGGATCGAGTCCTCTAAATCCGCGTGGCCCTTGCTGGGAAATTAATGACATGACACTCTCATAGAGAAGACTATTTGTCCGCAGGAGGGATCCCGATCACCAGAGAATCGTAGCTGCCTCCTTAGTCATGTCCGTCTACCTCCTCC